GGTGGGGACTCAGTGAGTGGATAGTAAACGTGTTGGTCATTCGTTCACTCATCCATTCATTCACTCATCCCCCTGGCTCTTGCTGAGTGCCAGCCCCTGTCAGTTGCTGGAAACACAGAGTTGAACAGGACATGTCTGGTCTCCTCTGACAGCTGCTGAGGACAGAGATTTCGATCATCAACGGAGAACAAATGTTTCTTCGACTTTTTTCTTTTCTCTCCTTCGCATGGTGGTAAGAACTCGAAGGAATACAGAAGAAGAAGAAGAAGGTGGCATTCATAATCTCACAGTGGTTTTGAGAAAACGGAATTATGTGAGTGATCAGGGGGCGTGTGGTTGAGCTTTTGGGGGTACAGGTGTGAGGGGACATTGAGTTGAGCCCATGAAGCTCAAAGCCCAGGCTTTGCCTCCCCAAATAAGAGCTTGGCTTTAGTCACATGACCTTCCATTTTACTCCCTAAACGTTCACTCACTCGCTGTGTGACGAAAGGAATGTCACCTAACCTCTCTGAGTCATCGTCTGCATATCGTGGACCTGGGGATGGTCATTCCTGCCTGTCAGTTTTGTCACGAGGAGGAAGTTGAAAGCCTGTACACGTTAGTTTACCATCACTGGTGCAATCAGCTGTCTCAACCTAGGGGCTTAAATCAGCGTGCATTTATGACCTAGCCAGTCCGAGGGCGAAGGCGGAAGTCTGAAATGAGCTCGCCAGGCTAAAGCACAGCTTTGTCCCCACTGCCTTCCTTTGTGGGGCTCTGGAGGGGCATCTATTTCTCACTGCTTCTGGCTCCTAGGGCAGCCCATCCCGTGGACGGGGCCCTGCCCGCTGCAAAGCCAGCGGGAGCCGGTGCGTTCTCAGACTGCGTCATGCCATGATGTCTTCTGGCTTCTTTCACTCTCGACCCTTGTGATGACCTTGGGCACGCCCAGGTCACTCAGACAGTCGCTGACGTCAAGGCCAGCTGGTTCGTGACCTCACTTCCATCGGCAGCGTCATTCTTTCTCACAGGTCCTGAGGCTGAGGACGAAGACGTCTTGGAAGAACCACACTGACAGCCACCGTGAGACACAGCTCATGGCCACTCTGACAGAAGGAAGTCAGTAGGGGGTGACCGTTTTCATTATTGTGTCCCCAAAGGACTGGTGTGCCAGCCCAGATGACTCAAACGTCACAGCACGCCGTCTGAAGCTCTCCACCCTGGTCTTAGCCTCTTTGTTTCCTCGGATTGGGATTCACCCCCCACCGGCTCGTCCGCCAAGGCCCGGAGCCAGGCTCCTTCCTCCATAGACGTCTCAGTGACCAGCTGGCAGGAGGTGTCTCTGAGGTGGTTAGAAGCATGTTCGTGAATGAAATAATGAGGTCGTGCTTGGAGATCGGCTTATGCTCCTTACTGAATATGTACTGAATACTTACCCATGTCTTCTTCCCAGAGGTTAGTTTCTCATCCTTAAGAAGGAAGTTGTGGTAGATGCATCAGTGATTTCTGGAAAGAGTTCAGCAATTCCGTGGGTGTCAGGAATGAATTGATGGATGGATCCATGACCTGGCAGGAGGTTCATGCCAACGAGAGAATCACCGAAAGGGCATTCCGTTCAACCAGGACAGAGCCCGAGTGGACCAACCTAACCGAACCTCATTTCCTTCAGCAGATGTCTGCAGACGCATCTGAAGTTCAGACTGACGAGAAATTCCTTGACGTGTAACTCAGCATCCGGTGTTCTGCAGGAGCACGAGTTCAGGCAGTGCTTTGGGGTCGGTTTTAAGAGGGTTTTGAGATCTGTGACCAAATGTGACCCCTGTAAGGTGTCGACACGAAACCCGCCTCTGGAGTTCGAGTCCCGGTTGCCCTTTGCTGGCCTCCCTGCTCTGGATAAGTCGTTCGATATCAGCGAGAGCCCAAAGATGTAGTTGGTCGGCACTTGAGATACGGTGCTTTCTTCCACCGAGAATTTACAGAGGAGCCAACAAGATGTTATGCATGGGAGTTCCTAATGCAGGTCTCGGAGCGGTGGCGCCCAATCAATCCCGCGCGGAACTGTAAGTGCTCCAGGCACAGTCTGATAGAAAAGTGACGCATAGCCTCTGGCCACGACTGACCCACTTTCTGTTCCGAGAAGGGGCCATTGGGATCTCGCAGCCGGAGGTGGTGATGGGGTCGTGGTGGTAGCACTGGGCTGGCTGTGTGTCTCCTCCTAGAATGATGACATTTCTGAAACGCACAGGGATTCCATCAAAGACATACTAAAAGTGTCATTTTGTATGCCTATAAATGGGGGTTGGCAGTTATGGGGGCCCCGAAATTCAGCCTGCGCGCCTTTCGTTCTGCCGACAGACACGGTGCTTTCTCGTTATGCGGCGGCCACGCAGCTCACTGTTTTCCCGATGGCTGTTATTGCTGTTGTCGTGGTCATTGATTTAGGAACCGACGTGTAAATTTTTAAAGTTGTTCTGCTAAAGCACACGTTTCTGTCTTTCCCTGGAACACGGACGCAGCTCGCACACAGCCAGCGTTTCTGCACTCGGCCGTCAGCTGCCGCTCAGACGCAGCCGTGCCCGACAGACCGGGCAGGCACCTGCCATTGTGCCTCAGTCTCCCCCCACAGGGGACGGTTCCGTGGCTGTGAGTTAGGGTGCTTCCCCTGTGCATTTCATGATGGTTTTGCTGTCTCTGTGTAATGAGCAACCATTGGTCCTAGGGGGCAGGCAGGGTCAGGTCCCCGGGAGCCTCGGGCCACAGCATTTCGTCAACTGATCAATACGTAACCTTGTTTTAGGTTTGTTTCTGTTTAGGTGCGTTTCTGCATTTTATATACAAATGACTCATTAACACTGTCCTGGCCGGTCACACTATAACTCATACCTGAACGAAGCAGGGAAATTCCCAAATCCGAACAGAACCCTTAAATAAGGAGGACTTGCGTGTGATCTGCAAATATTCTCTCTTACCCTGTGGTTTGTCTTTTCATCCTGTTAAGCATGCATTTTTCAGAGGGTCAGTTTTTAATTCTGATGAAGTTCATTTGATCCATTTTTAAACCTCCGCACCAAGCTTTTCTGTGAAGTTGAAGAACTCTCTGCTTAGCCCTAGATTTCAAAGCTCTCTTCTGTTTTTTTCCTAGAAGTTGTGCGGTTTACCTTCTGCGTTGGAGTCTGATCCTCTCTGAGGCCATTCCTATCGGTGTGAGCGCCAGGCTGAGTGTTTCGCTTGGGGTGGGGTTTTGCCAGTGGGTGTCCAGGTCCTTCCGGAGCACTTAAGGAGAGGCTAGCTTTCCTTCACTGAAGTGCTTTTGCCACTTTGTCAAAATCGCTTGGGCATATTTGAGCTCTTGTTTCTGCTGGGTGGGGGTGGAGATCCAGGCTGCCCACAGGGTCGCCAGTGAAACCAGGGTGGTGGGGTCCTCACCACCCTCCATGAGCACCGAGCATCTACCTGGCCCGTTGTGCACACCCTCTCTTGCCAGGTGGGGGAGTCTGGCCCCCGTGGACATCTTGGCTTTCACTTGGTCTTTGCTGGTGTGAGTGGAGGTGTTGAACTACTACTGTGTGAAAACGTCTGTGTTGCCAGACTGCCCCTTTTCTCAGTCCGTTATCTACCGAGAGCAGGATTTTGTTGGGGGTGTTTTCCCTTTGCCTGTAGCCGTACACATTTCCGGGCGGTTGGCCTCTCCCCGGAATGCATGAGGCAGCAAACATACGTACACAGTCACCATCATTGTCTTTCCTCGGACCTGGAAGTCCCTGGACTGTGTGCTCTTTTCCACCTTGAAGAAGCTTCTGTTTGTTTTCTCGACACTGCCTTGCAGTTCTTAGCTGTGCTCAGGGGGAGGACGGGAAACGGTGTGCGCTCAGTCTTTCCTGTGGCGGCCGCCTTAGAAGAATGCTCGTCCTGCAGACACAGACACAGACACAGGTTCAGAGAAGGGGTGCGATGCACTCAAAGTCACACAGCTCCCCGATGACGTGGCCCAAGCCGGCGTTCTCGGCTCCACACGTCCTCCGTCCGCCTTGCGCCCGTGACCGCGAGATGTCGGCAGAAACGCTCCACGTGTGTCTTCTCAGCGCAGCGGAGTCCGTGGCAGAGGGCCCCAGCCAGGAGCTGCGTGGCCCGTTTCACTCCCGGTCCATCTGTGCTGCTCACATTCTATTTGCTAGTCAGCGAGGGGGGGGGCGGTCATGGAGCCAGAAATGCCCCCAAGCGCGTGCGAGGACGAGGGTCGTCAGCTGCGGGCCTGAGCTTCGGAAGGTGCTCCCGCCCCAGGCCCAGAGGACCACCCAGGGCTCCCGGGCGGTGTCGCGAAGGTGGGTTTTGGAGAGGGGGTGCCAGACGGCAGTGGGGCCGACACGCTGGGAGCCGAGCTTGGCGAGAACCCAGAGTGAGCATCTCAGCAGCTGGGCCTCGGGGAAGTGTTGGTCTGTGTTGACACAAGACAGCGACTCCCATCGTGTGTGTTTTCTGTGATGCAGAACAGCTTCGTGCAAAATAGTGGACTTCTCAGACCCAGGGAAAATCACACCCTCCCGGGCCCGTGCCGTGTGACTGTTCCTTTTCCTGCTGCTGTACCGCGGACCTCGCGGGTGCCTCCTCTGACCCCAAGTGAACTGCCTTCCCCTCCGCGTTGCCCGTCCCGCTCCCACTATTCATGCAGATAGAACGAACCTCTTTTTAAAATCAAATTTCTTTCTTTCTTTATTGATGTTAGAGAGGGAGGGAGAGAGAGAAACATCGATGAGAGAGAACATCGATTGGCTGCCCACAGCCTGGGCACGTGCCCTGACCGGGACACGAACCGGCGACCTCTTGGTGCAGGGGTCGATGCTCAACCACTGAGCCACATGGGCCGGGCTAGAACGAACCCCTTTGATGCCATGGTGACCAAGCATGCTGCCTGGAAACATCCCTGGCTCCCTGCGACCTCAGGAGTAAGTCTAGGCATTGGCCGAAGAAGCCAACAACAAGGCGTGTGACCTTCAGCAGCCTGTCCTCTGCTCTTTTCTTAGGTATTACCAGATCCGAGTGACCTTGAAGGTGTCCTCCAGGGTCCCCCACAGACTGAGCGCCTCCGTCGTTGGGCAGACAGGTGAGCAGGGAGATGGTGGTGGGGTCTTCCTCTCGCTGGTGGGTCTTCGCTGACCACCGTGTGCCAGGGCATAGCTGAGGGCCAGGTACAGTGCACACCCGGCAAGTCACGGTGGGATTTGGAGACCCGCTGTGGGCGTGGCCGTGCGTCCACTGTTGCCAGGGAGGCCTGCGGGAAGGAAACAGTCCCAGGGGCACCTGGGCCTGGGGGGTGAACTGGCCGGGGAGGGTGTGGGCTAAACCCAAGCCAGGGGGAGGACGGGAAGAGCGCCCATCGGTGAGTAAGCGGAAGCCGGTCAACAGAGAGAAAGTGCTGCTCAGCCCGGTCAGTGAATTCGGGAAAATGTGAACATCAGCCAGACCTGAAGAAGGAGACACACTGAAGGGTGGAGGAGAGGAACGTACGGAGATAAACCACAGGACGCCAGAAAATCTGTGTCGCTCGAGCTGCACAAGCGAAGTTGGCTGAGTGTCACAGGAGCCAGATCCGGGAGAGATAAGCATCAGGTCGTAGCTGCCCTTCTGATTCACTGGGCGTTGGCTGGGCGTCGAGACCATTCCAGCACTGTTGGTGAGAGCAGGTGCCCGCCTTGATGGAATACCCACAGCTGGGAGTGTCCAGGCCCTGTCTGCTCAGCCCCGCCTTGGAGGAGGTGTGCTAGGTGTGGGGGAGGGGCTGGGTGACTCTCGTCACTCAGAGGACATCAAGGGGACAATGATGGTTTAGGGTGGCGCCAGTGATCTGGAGAAAGATACTGGACACCGCCTGCCCCTCCCCCGCCTTGGGGCCGAGCTGACTGTTGGGTAGTAGTCAGGCTGCCACACTTCCAAGGAGCATCTCCTCCTCCGCCCGCTCCTCGCCGGCGGAAGAAGTCGGAACCTGAGACGCTGGTCACCCTGCTGCCCCGCTGGGCACATCCAGGAAGCCGGCAGCCACCCCTGCTGGTGCCTGTGCCGGGCAGGGCCCCTCCCAACCCAGCTTCTGCCAGAAGAAGGTCCGTGAACTTGAGCGAGAGCAGGGGCTCTGACCTCGGACCTTGCGTGAACTCGTGGTGTGGCCTCGGGCACTGGCAACTTTGTCCAACACCGCCCCGCAGTTCTCCGGCCCCGGCTGGGCGGCACATCGGTCTGACACTGTCCACCTGGACAGCGCCCGAGCCCACAGGGGAAGGCTCGGCCCGACGCGTCACCTCGCTGACGAGCCGAGACACCTCAGTCCTCTCTTGGGACATTCCGAGGGTTTCAGCAGCTCTGTGTTAGCAAAGCGACAGAGCCTGAGTCTGGATCATTGACCGCAAATCACAGTACCGCACAGGCCCCAGATACAAAGGTGCGTGACGTCAGTGACAATGCGAGGGCTAAGGTGTGTCAGGAAGAGACACTGCGGTGGGAAGTTTACAACGTGAGCCGCCGGCCGCCTTGCTTGCGTCCCGTGGGTCTCAGGGCTGGGAGCTCTTTCTTCTCGGTTCAGGGTTACAAATGGTGGCCGTGTCCGTCTGTGGGTAAATGTTAAGTACTTAGCCTTGGCTGCTTCCTTCCCCGAAACAGTGCTGTTTCACAGATGTTTTTCAGTCTCTTCCTCCGAGGGGTGAGTGAAGTCAGACTTGGGGGAGAGAATCGGCCGAGCTTATCGCAACCACGGCGACTGGTCAGGCACAGAGCAGGCGTGCGCTGGCCACCGCGTGGAAGCCGGGGAAGGGCGCGGGCAGCTGTGGACATGTGTGCAAATGACCACGGCCCTTCCGTCATGTTTTGGGAAGCACCTTGCATTTCTACTAAGTGGGAGCATCTGGGAGTTTCGCGGCATAGGGGCGGGAGAGACATCTCTTCTTCGAATGAATCAGTCTGATTTCTTTTCAGGTCCGTTAAAGTGCACCTAGATAAACAAAGACGCGTGTTTTCATGGGGACCGGGAAGCAGGTTGAACCCCCAGCTCCCAGGCTGCGGGTACCTGCCAGGCCAGAGCCCAGCGGAGCTCACGCTGTCAGGAGGGAGCTGAACAAGCAGAGAGCCAGGTTGCGCTGCCCCCTGCTGGGCTTCCCAGCCCGGCCAGCATCTGCTTCTGAGTCTGGCTTTTCCCACTGGTCTGCAGGGGCTGCTGTGGCTTCAGTCCAATATCAGTGCTAATAACCTTAAAAATGCTCGTTTTCATCCTTAGACCGGCAGCTCCCCCGCCCCAGATTCAGTGTTCTATACTTTCCTTTCCTTCAGTTTTTATTTTCTAAAAAAACCTTTTTTTCTTTATTGATTTTAGAGAGAGAGGAAGGGAGAGGGAGACAGAGATAGAAACATCGGTGAAAGGGAACATCCACTGTCCGCCTCCTGCAGGCCCCCCACTGGGGATTGGCCCACAACCTGGGCATGTGCCCTGCCCGGGACTCGAACCGGCGACCTCTTGGTGCAGGGTCGACGCTCAACCACTGAGCCACACCGGCCGGGCCCTTTCCTTCAGTTTTTATTTTTCTAGTGTTTATGACATTACAACTGAATGATCACTTGAGGGTTTCTTTTTTTTTTTTTTTCCTTCTTTTTCTCTTTTTCTCCTCTTACTATGGTGTGAATCCTAAGAGGAAAGAAACTACAGCCCATCGCCTGGCATCAAGCCGCTCAGGGCCTAGGTGTTGAGTCGGAGGCTGGATGGGGGCCGGAAGGATGAGCAGACGAGTGGCAGGACATTCCCTTCCCTTCCGGACCTCGTGCAAAGACCTCTGCCCGCCACCCCCGTCCTGCTCGGGCCGCCACGCTCCCAGCGTTGACCGCTTTCGCGTAGAGCAGTGCAGGTCGGTCTTGCTCAAGTATAGAGCCCAGAGTCCTGACAATGAACATTCTTGTTCATCTTTCCTGATGTCAACGTACTTTGCTTCGGCTTCGAAAGTCGGTGTTACTGGCAGACCCGTGTTCTCCCGGAGTGGTACTCATGGCGCTGAGGGATGTCTGTGGATCACGCGAGGGCACATCTGGCGCTGAGGGATGTGTGGACCGTGCAAGGGGCACGCCTGGTCCCGTTGCTGGGAGAAGCGTGTCTCTGTTTGTGTTTTCCAACCTCAGAGAGTTTATGAAGGAGGAGACCCGAGGAGCTGGGTGTTTGTGGATCGTGGCTGCGGTTTGGTGGTTCGTTTTGTTTCATTAGGTGGGTAACCTGACTTCTCTACATTTTTGTGATTTTTTTTTTTTTTTGTAATGGTCAAGTAAAAAGGAATAATTTTTAATATATTTGTATTGATTTTAGAGAGAAAGAAGGGAGAGGTTGAGAGAGAGAGAAACATCTATGGAGAGAAACATGGATCGACCGCCTCCTGCACGCCCCCCACTGGGGATCGGGCCCACAGCCTGGGCATGTGCCCTCACCGGAATTGAACCGGTGACCTCTTGGTGCAGGGTCGACGCTCAACCACTGAGCCACACTGGCTGAGCAGGACATTATTTTTAAAATATCTTAAAAGGTCATTGGGTTAGTGGCTCTATACTTTTTCCCAAACTAATAATACATCTATTTTTAACCCACATTCAGCAACTATCTGGCAAGCGGCTACGTGCCGTGCGGTGCACTCGGTCTGCTCCAGCACCGAGGACGGGGCTCCCACAGACTCCCTCCCATGCGGGAGGCAGTCATTCAACCATACGTGACATCATGTTTTCCTCCACCAGCATCACAGACGGTCAGAGAGAGGCCGTGTGTGAAGAGCCTGCAGTCTCGGGTTTGACCACGTAGGGAGATTCAAGAACATTCTCTGGGGAAGAGGCGTCTGAGCTGGGAGCTGAGGGTGAGCCGCAGTCACTGGGCCCCGGGGAAGGAAGGAGCAGTCAGGGAGGGGACAGTACCAGCGAAGAGTGACAAGGAGGGACAGGCAGCCGGCGTGGCAGGGACACCGTGAGAAGGAGGCTGGGGAGACGGGTTAGGGTGGACGGAGGAGGGCAAGGCAGCTTTGAGGACGACCATAGGGCTCTTTCTGACCTTTGTCTTGAGAAAAGTGGACGGATACTGAAGGATTTTGACCAGGGGGCAGCTTGATCCTTGTGTGCATTGAAAAGATGCTTCTCCAGACAGAGTGAGGAGAGACCGAGCGGGGTGGGCCAGCGGCACCAAGACCGGCGGAGGTGAGAGGCGGGCCCGTGTGTGAGTGGTGGGCGGAGGGGTGCTGCTGGGGTGCACACGGAGGTGACGCTCATCAGGTGTGACGGAGGTTTCGGCTTACACGAGGGGCGAGGGCTCCCGGCCACGCACTAAAGCAGGGCTGGGAGAGACGTCCTTGCGGCTGCAGGTTTCCTCGGGGCAGGACGAAGCGTGGACTTCAGACACGTTCACCCTGCGTCCTTCCACGCCCGAGCGAAGGTTTCGGGCAGTCAGCGATGTGCGGGTCTCGAACTGGGAGGACAGCTGTGCGTTGGAGACACGCATCCCAGCGAGTGGCTGTGAGCGACGTTCCGGTTTCTACACGGGGCGGGAGAATGCACGGAACGGGCCCATCGATGCTCTCAGAGGAGGGTCTCCATTCTGGATGGAGGCAGAGACCATCCACAGGCCCCCAGTGGTCGGAGGAACCCGGGAGACGGGGAGGGTGTGGGGCACACGGCGTGCTCACCTACAGAGAGGTGGCTGCCAACAAGAGACAGAAAAGCCACTGAGCCAAGAGGAAAACGAGGGGAGCTCTGCCTCCCAGCCGAGGGGGCGGGGGAAGGGTACTTCCGGGAAGAAGGCTGGACCCGTGTGGCAGGCCCACGTGGCTGCTGGGAGTTCAAGCCGTGGGACGAAGGTGGTCCTGGGAACCACCATGACACGAGTGGCGGGAAGTCAGTGGGACATGGAGAAACGGGGATAGCCAGTAGGGACGCTCTTTGGCTAGTTCTGTTGTCTAGTTCTGTGTTTTGTTTTGTTTTTAATCCAAGACATTTTTGCATTTACCTTCAGATAGAGCGAGAGGGAGAAAGAGAGGGAGAGAGAGAGAGAAACATCGATGTGTGAGAGACACATCGAGTGGCTGCCACCCACACGACCCCACC